CCCTACCATGCACATACTTAGCTCTCCCTTTGGCTGGCCCCAATAGTTTGGACAGTTGCTATCTGAAACTGCCCCTTCAACTGTGTTGACTTGACTTTCTATCTCCTTAGCAACTATGATTGCTTTAAATGCTCCTGGGTTTACTTGTCTCACCTTTTATTGTTATCAATGTTGTTTTGTGTACACACATAAGACTCTTCCTTTACACAGCATATGTTTGATTAAAGTAAAACTTTTGCTAACCCCAAGTTGTAGGTTGATGTGGAGACAAATGCATGCAAATAACATCTAAACACAATAAGGGCCCCAGGAATGAAGTTTCCTATTGAGCCAACGGGTGTAATGTGTATTCACTATTGTGACTCAGATATTCTGCCTGCGCCCTCTTGGCTGATTTATCAAAGATCTCTTATTACTATCACCCCAGTATCACACTATGCTCATTTTAATTAAAACTGAGATGTCAAATATTTACTGTTCTATTTTTAACAATTATTGATGAAAATCTGTTAACATTATTGCTGACCAAGTACAGCTATAAATAGAACATACTGGCTTTTCTCCTGTTTTTTGTTTTGTTTTGTTTTGTGTGTGTTTTTTGTTTTTTTGTTTTTATCTACCCAACAGTGGCAGGCTGAGTTTTGTGGTGGTTTTACTTTGGATGAAAGTTGAGTAGAAAAAAGACTTTAGTGTTTTCCATTAATATTTTCTCAAGAAGGGGAACCAATAGTATGTTGTTTATATTTCAGCATGCCCTGCCAACCTTCTTGGTAATTAACTGTTGTGTTTCTTTTGCCCGAAATAATGGGTGTCATTTTCATCCATGGCATTATATTCTTTCTATACTGTATCTGCGTACTTTGGACAGTGTAGGTCTTAACTCCAGGTGTCTCCCTTCTGCCCTTGGCCTCAAATACTGAGTTTGGGATTAAGTGGCCCTTTCCCATGATTCCATAACACATAGTATATATTGAGTAAAAACTGAATCATCACTATTGCTTATGTAGAAATATACTGAAAACTCCAGAGGTCGGGCAATACAAATATGAAAAACAGACAACCCTGCCTATAAAGATTTGATTATCGATCTTGGAAGACAATATCTCTATGAAAAATAGGATTATAAAGCAGACTTGGAAGGGACCACAAAGGAAACATCTGCTAAGGTACATAATAAATATTTATTTAAATAAATTACATGGGAGCCCTTGCCAGTGATATTCTGAAGACCTCTGAGAATACGATGTTAACAATTCATTTGAAATATGAAATAAGAAAGTAAGCTATTTTTTAAAATCAACTCATGATGATTTCTTTGTCATTAATCTTGTGCAGATTTCCTCAACATTGTCTAGTAAAGTCGTCATCATAGAGTCAATCATTCTACTTTGATACCATTATGCATAACATGATTGTGGTTACCACACTTAACTGTGGGTATTTGTTACATCTCTCATTGCTGGAGTTCCTGGGGGTAGGGACTGTGTCACCTTCATATCTGTGTCCCCAATGCCTAAGAGATAGTAGTTTCTTAATAAAGGCTTATTGAAATAAATTCAAGTAATCTAAGCAACCTCAGGGTCTCTTTTATATGAATTCTGCAATATGTTTATTATTAAACATTCCAAAAGTATAGAAAATAGCACAAACCTGAATTTTTAAAAGTACTAACATTTTGCCATATTTGCTTCAGATATATTTTTCTCTGTTTTTGAGGAAAAACAGATTTCAACCACAGTCCCAATTCATTCAGCCCACACTGTTCCTTTTTTCTGTCTCCCTCTTCCCAAATAACCATTCTCCTGGAGTAGATGTTCATCTGTGTGGTGAATACAAATATGCCTTTCCAATGTATGTGTGTACTCATAAAAATATTAAAATATAAAGTATTTTAAAACTCACATAAATGGTATCATGTTATGTGAATTCTTTTCAATTGCCTCCCCCCCCCCACCCCCTTTAAAACATATGTGGTCACCCTGGCTGGTATGGCTCAGTTGGTTGGAACATCTTCCCATACACCAAAGGGTCCTGGGTTCAGTTCCTGCTCAGGACACATGTCCAGGTTGTGGGTTCAATCCCTGGGCCAGGGCATGTACAGGAGGCAACAAATCGATGTTTCTCTCTCTCTCACATTGATATTTCTCTCTCTCTTGTTGTCTTCCTAAGAAAATCAAAAAGAGCATGTCCTTGGGTAAGGATTAAAACATTTTTTAAGCCCTGACCAGTTTGGCTCAGTGGATAGAGCGTCAGCCTGTGGACTCAGGGTCCCGGGTTCGATTCTGGTCAAGGGCACGTACCTTGGCTGTGGGCACATCCCCAGTGGGGAGTGTGCAGGAGGCAGCTGATCGATGTTTCTCTCTCATTGATGTTTCTAACTCTCTATCCTTCTCCCTGCCTCTCTGTAAAATATCAATAAAATATTTAAAAATAAAATAAAACATTTTTTAAAATTTATGTTGTCAAGATTTACCCATGTTGAGATATGCAGAGCTTTTTCAGAGGGACCCATTTCCCTGGTCCTCTGTACTATCCTAAATCTAATACTTGGCCTTAAGTAATACAATGAAAGACGGTCCTGTGAATATGAGGCACAGAGAGAGGAGCAGAGAATCTCTTTCATGTCTTTTCGCCCTGTCAGACTACCGTGGCCAGCCCTCTCTACAGACTACTGCATCGGGTCAAAAAAATCCTGAGTTAAGAGCCAGGGGTTAGAAATGACAGACACGGAGTGATCTGTGCACACTGGCCCGACGATTCATGCCCAAAACAACCCAGCAGTCACTAAACTCACACTCAGCGTAGAGCGTTTGGCAAGGAAAGAAGGTGGGAATTTCTCCTTTGAAATTTCAGAAGAGACATCTTTCCTCTCAACTGTTCTTCCAGACCACCTTAGTCCATGGGTTGCTAATGCAAGGCGCCTTTAAGTAAGTCCTCATATTGTCATACCTGCAAATTTATAATCCCTCATCACCTTTAATTTTCAGTTTCCCCAGATGAAATAATAATCCAATCTGTAGCATAAAACATAGCTGATATTTAAACACTGGACCATAACACTGCACAACCCACAAACACAGTAAGTAAAGAGAGTATAAGGAGGGAGAGGAGGAGGAACCATAGCAGGAAGAGGAAACTAGACCTTTTGTATTGGAAATGACCAAGGAATTCAAATATAAGTAATACAATTACCAGAGATGGACTTCAGCCTGGACACTTGGATATTAAACAAGCCTGCCCTGAATGAAGCTGAGACTTGGCCTTGGTGTTTGAGGAAAACAGAGCGGCCTCCGTCTCCCAGCCTCCTGGGAGAGTGGACTCGGGAGTACTTTGGTGTTCTTCTTCCCTGGCCCAGCTTCCCGCTGTACCTGAACAAGCCCTGGTTTTCCGAGTAAACTGCATCCCTGCCCAGAGCAGCTGGGTGCCCAAACCCTGCGCTCCCTAGAAATTACCGGGCAAGTCCAAGCGTGTGGGAATCACCCAGGGAAGCAAACGCTGTTCTAGACGTTGGATTCTGCAGCCTCATCACCAAGGTGATACAGCCAAACATCCGGTGCCTAGGGCTTGGCCCCTTTCTGAATTTTCTGCACTATGTGAAATCCAGTTAATTATTTTCTTTGGTTGGATCCATATTACACACACACACACACACACACACACACACACACACACACACGGAGGCAATTATTCATAGCACAAAAGCTTTTAAAATGCAAAACTGACATACCTTTGTCTCACTTATCAGAAAATTTCAGCTATTTCAGGTAAAGGCGGAACTTTAGCTTGAGTGACTCACGTAGAACCTCATTTCACTGATTTCCTTTGCAGAGCACATGGGAACCTAATCAATTACTTAGATTACAACAAAAAATTCTAATAACCTGATAGATGACTGATATTTTCCCCTCAGTCATGTCATTCCCCACAGCATGTTATTTTATCATATGTTAGGACTCTACTCAAGGAGATTCATCCATGAGACCTTCCTTACACCTTCTATGGGCCTCTGGTCACCTTAGAGCTCTCACCTTTGCAAATCTCATCAGCTGTTAATTGGGGTTTTCCCTTGAAAACATTGTGAAGGGAGAATTTTTCTGATGCCTGGTTTTTGTGGGGGGTGGGGGGTGGGGGTGTTCTTTCTCCATTTCTATTTGGCATCCTCTCCCCCAGGTTCCTAATGCATCCCAGGACCCCCGGTTATAATGCTCCATTGGGGAAATGAAGGCTAGTGTATCATGCATTGTATGTTTTCTCTAACCTCCTCCCAATCAAAAGGAACCTGGTCTCGTGCCACTCTTTCAGTGGGTCCTGAGTAAAAACTGACTAGCTGACCTGGCATTTAATTCACGAGGGGTACTTCTTTCAGGCAATGGAGGTGCATTACAAGGAAGCTTTCTTCACAGCGTTGAAAGGTAACATTTTCAACCATTATGACAGGTTGATAAAGTGATTTAATCATCTGCAAGGATGGCTTTTAGAGTCTTTCAAATCTTAAAGCATCTGGTAGCTTATAGGAATGGTCCAAATAATTGTTCATGAACAAAAGTCTCACTAAGCCCAACAAATTGGAGGAAATACAGCTGAAATTAAAGAAGAGTCTGTCTATTTTTAAGGTAGTTTAAAGAAATACTCCCTTCCCTTGCTTGGCTCCCAGAATGCTGACAGTAGGCTTAAGTCACTTCCCTAGAGCGAGGATTAGGGAATTCCTCTGTGGAGAAGCTGACAGCCCGAGAAGAAAAGTCTGTAGCTCACTATCTGCCTGATTCTTATCGTGAAGCTGCCACTCAGAAACTCACCTTCCCACAAGATCCCCCACCACGCACACACATTGCTGTTAGTTCTCATATAAATGGGCCACCAGGGATTATCCAACATAAGAGGAAATCCCTTAACACCTGAAAAGATCGGAACAATAGAAAACCAAAAATGTCAGACAACAGAGAGCAAAATAAATTTCCAGAGAAACCATAACTATTATTCTGAGAGCTAAGAGAAGTAACTAGGTGAGGTGATCGATATGTTAATTAGCTTGATGATGGTAAATATGTCACCATACAAATATAAAACCATCACACTGTATACTGAAATATTATATGTTTTTTGTTAGTTGTTTACACCTCCACAGAATTGGGGGTGGGGGGGGAAGGAAATAAACCTGTCTTTCTAAGTGAAAATTCAATGACATAAATTAATAATCATAAAAAGAGAAGATGGTCTTGGTCTTTGGCCTGGGTCTGTGGAGCATGGCGGTCATGGCCAGCTACATCGTGCTCTCCAATGCCATCAAGGTGCCCATTTTGGGGCTGGGCACCTGCTTAGGCTATCAACTGTTGTTGTTGTTTTAATATATTGTTTATTGATTTCAGACAGGAAGGGAGAGGGAGAGACAGAAATATCAACGATGAGAGAGAATCACTAATAGGCTGCCTCCTGCACTCCCCACCCCCCGCCCAACTGGGGACCGAGCCTGAACAAATGCCCTGACAGGGAATTGAACCATGACCTCCTGTATCATAGGTCAATGCTCAACCACTGAGCAACACTGACCTGATATAGGCTGTCAAGTCTTAACTGGAGGCAGGTGACTGCAGCTGAGGGATCACCCAGGGTCCACTGGGGTCAAGTCCGGGGCAGAAACTTGAACACTGTTGGGTGTGGGTCACTGACAGTTCAGTAAGCCACAACACAATCAAAATGAAGCTGGGGAGAGTGATCGGGACAAGAGAGAGAAATTACTCAAACAGCTATGTTACTAAAGGCAGTAATGCCAGCAAAGCGGCAGTGTGGCAAATTGGTCAAAACAGACTCTGAACCAAGTTTCTAGCACCTATCTGCTTTGTGACCATTTTGTTCCTTTTCTTTTTATTCTCTAGAATGGAGATGATAATAATAATACTTTCCTCACAGGGATGTTATGTAAATGGCATAACTGGTGACATATAAAGGGTTTAGAGTTGTGTCTGCTTGCAGTAGAGTTCAATAGATAAGAAGTATTATTATTATTAACACAGTTACTCTCAGAAAAGGTAGGAAAAGTAGCTTTCAAATGCTCATGGCATGTTGAATGGAAAATCCAAAATGCCAGCATGCATGGACCTGTGGACGGGAACTGGTTAAGCAAGACGAACATGTTACCTCATTATTTTTCACCTGAGTTGCTGCAGTAATTCCAAGTTGGTGCCCTTGCGCCCACCATCTATCTTTTTCATCTTTTCTCCCTGCTGTGGTCAGAATACTATCTTGCTGAAAACCTCCCAGCGGCTTCCCACAGCCTTTGGAAAAAATTCAAGCTACTGGCAAGAAATAAAGGCTCTTCACTTGTACGTTTCTCCAGTTTCATGTTCTATCTCGCTGCTGCATTACGACCCTTATCCCTGACCTTATTACTGCTGTATTCCTTCAAACAGGCCAAGGTTTCCTATGCTTCACTTCATTTGCATGAGATCTTCTCACTCTTTGACCCTAATCCATCTGGCTAACTTCCACTCAACTCTCAGAACTCCTTCCAAGATTCCGCATTACCTTCTCTGTCTCTTCTTCTCTCTCAGGAAACTTGCTGGACTCCTCCTCCATCTACTACCAAGTTCACCCTTTTGTTTGTGGGGGAGGTTTTTGATTATTGCTACCATCTCCCTGCAAGTAGTTAATCTGGTCAGATTTTCTATTTCTCATGATTCAGGCTTGGTAGGTTGTATGTTTCTAGGAATTGATCCATTTCTTCTAGTTTGTCCAATGTGTTGGTGTATCTTTTAGAATTCTTATCTGGCTATGTTATATTCATTGGTTTTTCTGGTGTGTTCCTCCTCTTTTGAAATCAGGGTCTATATCTTTCACTTCTTATATCTCACAATTTCTGACAAGTGCCCAACATATAGTGAATGTTGTAATAAGTGTTTGAAGAATAAATAAATGCATTTAGGATCACCAAAACTTGCTTTAAAATACCAGAAGATTTAAAAAATAGATCTTTGGCTTAAACAAGCCTCCTGTGATTTTATTTGTACAACTGCCTAACCAACAATCACTTAACAGTGCTGAAGGGGGGATCAACCCATCTCATATCTAATTATTATGAACACTGGCTTAAGGATTTTATTATGTATTTCTGGCTTAGGACTCTTATAGAGCCTGTGTTTGTCCTACCTACCACCTCAGAATTGCCCTTTTTGAAGCTTAATACCATATTCATTTTTCCCAGTGTGTTCTACCTACACAGAAATGTTGTAGAATGACTACAGTATTATTCACAATGGGCTCATGAGCTGATGATGTCTCATGTTTATATCTCAAGGTGTTTAAATTGATCTGAAGTGGTACTATTTTTAAAAAAGGTTATAGCTATTCAAACCATTACCAGTTCTCTTTGTGTATTGCCCAGAACTCACCTCTTCTCTTTTTTTTAAAAAAAATATATTTTATTGATTTTTTTACAGAGAGGAAGGGAGAGGGATAGTTAGAAACATCGATGAGAGAGAAACATCGATGAGCTGCCTCCTGCACACCCTCTACTGGGGATGTGCCTGCAACGAAGGTACATGTCCTTGACCTGAATCGAAACTGGGACCCTCCAGTCTGCAGGCCGATGCTTTATCCACTAAACCAAACCAGCTAGGGCCCACCTCTTCTCTTTAAATTAAAGTTCCACACCCTTATCTATGTCTTTGGTTCTATGTCTTTGGTTTCCAGCATAATGTTTTGATTCCCTGAGAGTAATTTCTGACCTTCTGAGCAGGTTTAGACAATTTGTCAGAGCCCTGTGTAGTATTTACTGTAAACCATGTATTGGCTAGAGCAGAAAGATAGGATGTTAGCATTAAAATCATAATACTGTCTTGCAGATTGTTAACACCTATTTTTAAACTGGAAAATTACTTCAAACTGTCTTATTATTTATAATCTTTAGAGTTAAAAATTAGTGGTGAATTAAATCTCCTAAAACGTCAAGATAATTTTCTTTTAAAAAACAAAATAAACACTAATAAGTCCTCTTTTCACCTACTCCTTGCCTATCTGTTCTCAAGGAAACAACCTGAGCTAGTGACTCGGTTTTAACCTCAATAGTTAAAACTAATTACAAAGACAACCTTTTTTTTTGTTATTGGTATTAGAGAAAAAAATTACTACTGGAATATTTTTAAAGAATTTACAGCCCGTTTAAATCCATACAGTTATTCAAATTAACTCAAAATATTTTTACAGAAGGCCCCAAGAGTTAGCGCTTTGTGAATTTATTAATTTTTAATCCACAAGACTGTTTGCATATCTGACAGACTATCATAATATTTTAAAGCGGCATGAGTAATTTTTGAATCATAAAAATCCCACATCAA